TTCAAAAACATCGACTATTCCATTTCTGAAGGTTAGATCTACCTTCCATTGTTATCTTGGATCATATTCGGATACTAATAGCTAGGCCGATCGTCTGTTTCAGTTATGCTGATTGTATGACGTCATCCTACAGTTTGTCGCGTTCAAGGGGTTTTCTTACTAAGTGATGTGAACAGAGAAACAAGAAGCCCTGACAAACTACGAAAGTCATTTTTCTGGACGTTAGTCCATTTTATGCACAGCTCGTAAAACACTGACATTTATTTTTGTCTCTAATGTATTCTACAGAACATAAGCTTTCGTTCGATGTATGATTCATTGACATGCTCTTTTCTGTTCTGAAGCTATCGTGATTTAAACATAATATTTTGTACATCATATTCTACTCTAATTCTCGGCTTTGAACATAATTGTATTTTTTCTAATTATTGTACGTTGTGGTCGGGTTAGTCACCTATTTATTCATGTACCTTTTTACACTAATCTGAAATCACGAAATCAGGATATCGGAATAGATCGAATAGTGTACCAGTTGTCTTGTCTTCTCTCATTCACGTGCTTGTCAGCCAATCAGGTGATAGAATATTTTCTTCTCTCTACCCCACTTCGAACTCACGCATACTAGCCTCAAGGCTCGGTCGGTCAGCCTATCACGTCATAGTCTTAATCTGGATTAGATAATATCCTCAGCACCAAAAGTGGGTAGACACATCAAGCACGTAACACTAAGGTCACTGATTAGTATAGGTAAATCGTGGGGAATACTGTACGAGTCAAAGTAGTGGTTTAATATATTGATATCGAAGCTGATAAATTTGGATGGATAGACAGCTATTATATCTAAGGAGATCGTCAGAGTTATGTACATGTCAGCTCTGTGGGATCAACAGTCTTACTGCTTTTTCTTGTATATAAGAAGAACTGTGACTCCTCGATGTTACTACTTAGATTGTAAATAAGAACAACAACAATTACCAGTTTCGCTTAAGCTTCATAGTAGCAAATTGAGGTTGGATTACATACGATCATTGTGAAAATATACGTATTTAATGCAGTTCAACTGAATTATCACAGAGAACAAAACTGTCACATTAAATGAAAATCGACCCTTCTCGTATAGAACAGCTTACACTTAATTGGAGCAAGAAAATATTGAACCATCAAAACCGGAACATGTAACACTGGGCATTGTACGTAATGATTTACTACATCAAACGTTCGCCGAAACAATGCTATATTATCTCGTCACCCATTGATAGTTTTGCAGACCTCTGTGCACCATGGAATATGTAAGTCACCAGCCAGATTCGAGTAATTTATCTTGCTGTAATTGTATCTTCGACGTTTATCGTTGTATAGTAATGGTTTTGTGGTGCTATTGGCCAAAATCCTTGTCGTATAATAGTTACTAAGCACTGAGACTTAGATTGAGAGCTGACTGTTTTACAATAACGTACTCAATGTGGAATGTTAATTTGCAACTAATGAAAAATAAATTAATATGGATAAGATTGAAATTATCACACTGTATTTTTTAGTGTGAACGACATTAATCGAATTTTTTAAAAATGCTACTTATGATTTTATTGGTTGCAAGTACCCATTTTGAATGCTTTTACGTTTTTGATTTATAAACAATCGATTGCTTATAGTAGGTGTCAGAGGACCCAAGGTCAACACCATAGACCGTGTCTGGTCACTCTAACATTCCGTCCTCTGGCTTGTTCTTAGTTTTATCGTGTCTCGGTTCGCGTTTGAATTTTAGTCAGTGAGAATATCTGACAAAATCAGGGAGAAATTTGATGTTATTAATGCTGATGTAGAAAGTTATAATTGGCATATTACCAGTATTGATGTATTAGTGGATGGGATTACTGTAATAGTTGAAATAAAGGATTTCCGTATCACTGTTTGTTCACAAATTATAGTTCGGCGATTGGAGATATTTGACAACATTGTATTTTATTCTCTAGGAGGACATCGATATTCCAACTGCAGCATTGTGTCAACAAGAAAAATGTTACATGTGCGAAACTGGTATTTTATTCCCGTCATCGGTGGAGGAGCAAGAAGAGGATATTCTTTTTATCTCTTATCCTTGTCCTTTGAAATAAATTGTGACTTTCATAGTATTATTCTTAATTATTATTGCACAAATATTTATACTAATATCCGGTTTCACTCTGTATATTATTACACAAATCTAAATGTATTCATCCGAGTGCTCTAAAGGATTTTTATTTTATTTTTCTCAATTGCTGGTTTACTTCTGAGGTCGATATTCATTACACAATTATTATTCTTATCATGGATGAACATTTTCACCAGGTGTCCATATCTTTTCTCTCTCCTTATTTCTTTTTAGTAAATATTCTTCTTAAAATTACGGCGGTTGTAATTAGGACAATAACTTGTGATACATTTAAATTAACTTCTCAAACCCGTTTTATCTTCATTTTGCATGTATGACTAATACATATTGATATTTCGTTATCCTCTTTATTTAGTTGAGACTTTCATAGCATCACTCCAAACTATAGCTGCACAAACATTTATTCTAGCGTCATATCTTACTGCGATAATAAGTTATTTTTTCTTACTTATTTTTTTTACTGATTTGACGATATATACATGGTCGTTTATTTTTGTTCTGTGTTCATAAACAAACTTATTAAACTATTTGCGTATTTCACGTCTCGTTTATTTCTATTCCCTTATTTTCTTCATTTCCTTTTTTTAAAGTCAATTCAATATTCTTCTCAACTACACACATTCGATTTACTATTATTAGCATTTTATTATTATTGCTCTATTTTTTTAAAATATGGCAAGTATAATGCTAACATTATTGAAAATTGTGTATTATTGCGTTTTTTGAAGAAACCCGAAGTGGTTTCTTCACAACATTTATGTGCCCATAAGATGTTTGTGAATAATAATAATAATAGGTCTGTTCTCAATGAAGTCAAAGTAGTGGGCAGTTAGTACAGGACACTTACATATTAATTAGCGCTGGTAATGAGATGGAGAAAAAATTTCAACAAATCATAACAATTATAGTTCCGTGGTAGATTTGGGTGGTGAAAACTAGAACACATCTACAACATCACCCAACACGCTGATTCCATGTCTTTCACACCATAACAACATTGCTAAATTCAGCTATAATCTCGGTTCAAATGTTACATCTGACGCAGAGTGCAGACGGCAGGATAATAATTTAAATTTGATTTTGCTAGGTAAGACGATGGATGGAAAGACAGATGACTACTTTGAAAACTAGATCATACTGAGTTGGATATGTAATGTAATCTTGTTCCACCTCCGAATTCACGAAGCCACTATTAAATGATACTATGCAATAACTAAGCCAACAGTTTGGTGAAAACTCATGATTGTTTAATAATCAGTACAGACGTTTCAAGGCAATAATTTATGAAATTGATGATTTCCGAACTCAGGTTAGTAATGTCAATCATGAATATGAACGGCACTGACAAACTTTGTTGACGGGAGATCAGTTCTCGTAAACGTATGTTTCATCGTTATAAAGGCAGACCAAATTTTTGAACTAAATTGGAACCAGAATAAAATTTTTTCCGTGTATTATACAACTGTCAGTAATAACCCACAACGAGGTTAACTGAAAAAATTTAGCTGCTTATCTTCAGTAACAAAAGGCCAGAGCTATCGAATAAATCCATTAGTACTAGTAACATAATAAATTATCATCCAAACTTATCCAGCCTGATATACAGGTATTTCCAGTATAGTCCTACTAGTGACGTGAATAATTTATATGGCAATTTGGGCGAATGTCATAAAAAAATGATTATTACCCCTGTAGTTATTATTTAAAAAAAGGTATCCATAATTAAGCATGATTGAAATATAATCACTGGTTCCCCCTAATCACAGTTTAATTGTCATTGGTAAAAATGGAATTCTAATCAATCTCTAGGATAGTTGAAACCCAAATAATTAACAGATTTAGGAGTTCAAACGAAAAGTGAATTAAACTTTGAAACGACCCGGCGAAATTATCTGAATGGTCTCAAACTTGGTAGTTGCTGGATAATACTTCGGAATTAATTGTGATGCATATTGGTCATCAATGTACAGATACATACATGATGAGTAACATTAAGCTACCTGTTGTCCAGAAACACAAGGACATAGGAGTCATCGTTATCGAAGACTTAAGAACTACTACGCACTGCAGTACAACAATCATCAATGGTTTTATGACACTATGGTCACCATGTACGGCTTTTATCCATATCGCCGCTACAACTCTTTTTACTTTGCTTACCGTATTCGTGAGTCCTAAAATTAATTACTGCATACAAGCGGCTACCCTCTACTTAAAAAATGAACAGCGAGTTTTTGTAACAGGTTCAGAAAACAGAAACCAAGCTGATTTTTGGCAAAGCAAAGTTTTCTTATGATGTTCGATTGGCTAAACTGAACTCATTCCTGTTGTAATATCGAAGAACTAGAGGTGACTTGAATAAAGTTTTCAAATTACTTCGTAAAAACGTGCATTCAATATGCCCTTATTTTTCTTGTCGTTCGAAACGGAGGATTTACGAGTGTACTCTCATAAAGTTTACAAGCCTAGAACAAACTACTTGTCAACTGAAAATCAACATTCGAATCATCGACGAGTCGACACGTGTTTGAAGCTCCTTCTGTCTACTCTTTCAAAACGTTGTGTCAACTGAGAGATCATAATCCGAGAAATAACGTAGATCACCTAGCTTCCTGTCATATCTAAACTGGAACCGAAAATGATCATCTCAATAGATATTTAAAGCCGCACTATGAACCTTATGGCTTTGTGTTAATTTTTATGATAACAAGACACAATCGCTGCTTAAAACGCAAATAAAACTTCTAAAATGTGACTAGTCAATTCAGTTATTCCGACTAACACACATTATATTCAATCTCCAAGTGATATTTTTTTCTAGCGGTCAACGATTGAACTTTCGGAGTCTGCTTTATTTAGATGTAAACGTTACCTTGTTTTCGTGATGTCGTTTCATACGAAATCAATAGAACGTATCCTCAGCCCAGTAGCTCAACAGGTATTTTCCGCGTTAGCTTAGTCACACGATTTGAAAGGTTTTAAAGCTAATATTGCTGTTTGAGGATGCTGGATCAGGTACAGAGATTCCTGATCTGGAATTTCGCGTAAATGTTGTAAAACTTGCAGTTGAAAACCTTATAAAGGTTAGCATAAACTTATATTAACCATTACAAAAGGTTGGTCACCAAACAATCGAGGCTAGTGATGACCAACTGCTACAGAGAGATATGCCGCCCTCACTCAAGCGTGTTGAAGATGCATCTTTTTATCTCCAGGATGCTGTCGTACTGTTGCAAAACGACCCAAACTCTTCAGAAGCACGAAGAAAACTGATTGAAGGATCTAGAGGTAGTATATTTTATTTATATTTTCTTCAGGTATACTACAGGGAACATCATCTGTACTTCTTACCTTTGATATGTCTGAAGTACGAAAAATCATCAGACACTGCAGACGAGTACTTAGTGTCCTAGCCACTGCGGAACATGTTTCGAGTCTCACTGGTTTGGCTGATTTTGTTAAGGTAATTACTTGTTAAATCTTGAATGTTGTACAGCGACTAACCCCTTGTATGGCGGATATGATTAAAGAAGTAGACAATCGACAGGAAGAATTGACTATTCAGTCTCACTCTGCTCTGCTTCTTAGGGGTATAGAACAAGTGAAACGTCTTACGCCTATTTTAATATCGTCTTTGAAATTGCACGTAAATACACATCAAAATCGTAAGTTAAATAACTCAAAATGTTTTTCAATTCTTCTGAAGTTGTAAGGTCCTTTGTAGAAGTGGAATTTGTCAATTTACTATCCTGTTATCCATTATCGATTAGGTCTGGTTATATGTGTAGCTACTTTAACCATGATTACGTTCATATACATCACTAAAAATTAGTGGTCAATGAATATGTGTTCCACATAGTTTATGAATAATGCCTATTTGAATTGTTTATGTTCACATAAGCTCGGATTTAGTTTGTGTTGGCATCTTGATGGTTAAATAATTTTTGCATAACTGTTAATCTTCGGATATGTTAAGAGTATTTCTTATCAAACCCCTATCAAATATTTAGTAAGAATATATCCTATGGTGATATGTAGCATGTTGGTTGTAAATTTAATTCGTGTTTTAAATGGTCACAGTCAGATTCTCACAACTTACTCTTTATCGAGTTCATTGTTATTTATTTCATACTTTATCTATTTCGCGCCCAATATGCTGTTGTGTGCAATGTTTAAGCTAGTTACACATGTTTTATACAGATCTACCTGGAGCTGCTGAAAGTCAAGCAAACCGAGATTTCTTGTTGTCTGAAATGTCCAGTGAAGTACATGAAATTATACGTGGCTTACAGCTTACCGAAACGGACTCATCAGAGTTATTCGATGATGACTTAGCGGCTATGCATATGAATAAAGCAGCTTTTGATAGCCGTCTACAGTTTGTCAGTGACTGGATTTCTGATTCGAATGTAAGTTGTCCGTAATTTTTTTATCGACGTGATATAAGATACTTGTAGAATATTTTTTGGTAGTAGTTAATATATATTAGTACTTTTGAAAATTCGAGCTGTGATGCATAATCCCAGTTTAATATTTTAGGAAATAAGTTTTGTAAGTTATGCAGATATGTTTCAGTTTATAAGAGTCACTCAATTCCCTACCTACTTTTGTGTAGCATACTTATAAATCGGAATTATACAGCTTGGTGCATGACTGTATTTTATTGCTCGGTTTTTACAAAAATAGCTTTATACTACTGTGGGTATTTTTCACTTTTGAAATGTCACCCTTCTGTAACTCAGCTTTTGCATTAGTAGTACTCCTTGTTGAGACAGGTTGATAGTAGATGCTAGATAACACACCTTAATATAGTTCAGTATTAGTTTTGTTTACTTTAATCCAACGTGGAAACTGCAAACCGACAGGCTAGAGAGAGAAACTAAGCTACCAATCACAATTTTCTGATATCAAGACTTACCTAATCGTTTGTTCTTGCTGCTTATCAAGTATAGGGTTTATGCACTGGACTTCGCGTCAGATTTTTGTGTATGACGGCTGAAGATACTACTCAGCTGCCAAAACCCGTGTTGATGTAACATTTAGATCTACAACTTAGCTTTCGGATTTCGCATATTTATATATCGATTTAAACACATAAACATTGGTACACGAAGGCACCAAATATATACGCGCCACGAATCATTCGGTATTTGTAAGGACCGGAATACTACCCGGGCGCCCAAACTGAAGCAGGTTCGCGTGCCTGAACCACTTCGTCACGGCTCTTAAATATTCTGTTCTATGCTTCAAAATCATTCTAGGATGTCCATATGGTTCTGACGTTAAAATTATAGTTTAACATGGGAAAAGGAAGTTAAACAGTTGAATAATTTTAAAATGAACGGATAAACGAAACTGATTTGTACTCGTTAAATACCTTTATCATTTATCATTTACCATACTTAACTACCTCACCCCTCTTCTTTAAAGAGCAGAATGTCTAATCGTGTTGAACTGTAAATCCCTTTGATTAATCTCAGTTTAATAATTGATATTTGTTTGGGTAAAATTAAGTAAGAATATTAAATTACTCGTTACCAGTGACTTTTAGATTATTGTTTTAGGTGGTTTTCTATCTTTTGTCCAAGCCACTAATATTCTATACGTGAATAAAGTACTCGAAACCTGAAAATTTACAGCCTAGTTTAAAAAGCATCTGTTAACAGATTTGAAATCTTTTGACTTAGTAAGTTTTAAAGAGGTTGCTTGAATTATTAGCTCTAACAAATTAGAGAGGTTCGTACATGAAATGTTATATTATTAATTAATTGTTTTTCACATCTTGTCGAAAACGTTCTTGTTTTATAGACAAGAATATATGTTATTTTTGTTTACGTAATACAGAACCATCTTAACTAGCAGTTGCTTACAATCTAAGCTACTTGTTAGCCGTTTGGCTAGGCGACCAAAGCCAAGCAAATGAAGTCTTTAACATGATTAGACTAATATGTTTGTTTAATTTTTAGAAATTGCTACAATTCCTGATAATTACGCTGTCCAACTTGGTGTATAATCGTCACACGACTTATCTAACGGCCTTTGGATATCAGTTTGGTTTTGAGTATCCTAAAATCACCAAGGAAAATCTTTAAAAAAACATGGTTGGAAAGTCATTTAAATAAATTAAAGTTGTATATTAATCCTACAAAGAATTATAGGCAGCACGTCTTTTATTTAACCAGTGTATCTGTATTTATTTTTGGATTGAGATGGGTACATAAAAATTGAAGCAGTTAATTGTAAAGTAGTGTGACTTAAGGATGAATTTATCACATCAATAGCTTCACAGAATAATATAGTCGAATAAAAACTCTCTTTCTCTGTGTATATGTTGTTCAGTCTCATTCTTTTTTAAATCTCTTGTTTATTTTCTCATCTGTTAGTGTTCCGTTGCAATGACAGCTGGTGAGAAAGCACTGAATCAAGTTTTGAATTCAGCAAGAAATTTAGCCAATTTAAATCAAACAAGTTCAAATAGTAAAGCAATAATCCATTTATGCGATGAATTAAACGATTATGCACAGTCACTTATTCACTTACGAAGAAGTGGTCATGTAAGCGCTTATTGGGTGATACATTACAATATATTTTTTTTAATGTGTAACAGCTATAACCTTTAAACTGTGTCCACATTTCAGTGTGGAATTTTAATAGTTTTGAAGGACGCTACTGAATTTATTGTTGATTTTTTAAGTCAAATGAATTTTGATCCCACAAAAATATTCTCAATGTACAGTAAAATTTACCTATGTGTTGGTCATAAATAGGCGCTGTCCTTTTTAAATCAGATAAGGTTAACTTCGCACTAGGTTTTAAAGAAGCATGGTCAGTAAAACCTAGCTTGTCATTTTTAGTCGGATGATACCCTCCTACACAGATAGCCTCTGTTATTGAGCTACATTATAATATTGATGAGACATAATACTGCTCATATTATTTGTGTTGATTTATAGTTTTGATCTATTTTTGTTCTCATTTGGCTTCAATAAAACCCTAAGTTATGCCCCTAAATGCCCTCGTACGGCCGAGGATAGGGAGAGTCCGCTCTACCTCTCGAAATGCTCACATGGTCACGCGTATATAGCCTCTGTCAGGGAAGTCTTACTCACTGCGTCCTCGTGGCAGGCGTGTTGTTTACAGAATTGAGAGGACGAAAAGCGAATGTCTGGCGCTTTAACCGGGTTGGTGGACATGGAGAGTCCACTTAGGAGGGTTGGAAAACCTTGTTTCTAAACCATTGGTGCACATGGGCTGGCTCCAGTATTCTGAAGGAACAAATGGCGTATAAACCAATCGTTGGTGACCGGCTACCATAGGAATGCGTCTCCTTACGTTGCTCCACTGCGGATGTGGCCCCCTAAGAAAACTACTTGCTTCTGTTTGGGCACCCGGAAAGTATCACAGCCCTCACACATATCAAATGAGATTTGTGTTGCGCATATGTATTTGTTGCCTGCTTGTACTAATATCTATGTGTTAAAATAAATAAATAAATTTCCTAGTTATACTGAAATACCGATCACTTTTTAAAGTCAGTCAGTCATATCCATTGTGTACATCAATTCAAGTTGTTAAACCACATTAGTACAGTGCGCTGAAACTATTAAAACAAATACCAGTGTAGTAGAACTAGTAACAGTACCAGTAGTTATAAGTAATTAATTATAGAATGTATGATGATAAAAGAAACTATTGGTTAGTGGAATGAACAAAAACTAAGATAACTTAGAAATTTAGAACCTAAAAACAGAGATTATGTATCTACATCATTGAGACTAATCTTGAATTATTTTACCCAACATCCCGAGGTATTCGTTACGTTTGTTGTGAAGACCAAAACCAGGTAGTCTGCACCTGTTTACAAGGCTCCTAGTGTAATTGTTAAAAATTTCATACAGTTATACGTTGTCTCAATTTGGAAATCTGTAGCTTTCTTTTAACGTATGACTACTTTAAACAACATCTTCCTTTCAGTCATTTGCTAGTTGGCCATATTCAGTACATGTCCTAATCATTTCAATCCATGAAGACTCACTACCTCATCAACTAATTTGTCATCAGTTCTTTGAAGTGTAATAATACTTGGACTATAAATTAAAACAATTCACTCCATGTCAGTTCTTGTTTTTATCGTAGTTAGTTTCTTCCATGTTGCCGAACTTAATTTATTCAGTAGTTTATTATCACTGATTGTTGTACTATTGGTTCTACTCAGAAAACCAATTATTGTTATGTCATGAATTGATTTAGAAATCAATTGATTGGTCAGTGGAAAATTGTAGATAACTGGGAAGTTACTCGTAATGCCTAGTTTTTGCTTTACAAATCATGTATCCAAAATTTTCAATGTTAATAACTAATCTTCAGAAACTAACCAGTATCCATTGGTTATAAAATATAGATAATAACTTTTTTTCAGTATAGGGTTGTGGAGATTATTAAGTTTTTGATTCAGATCATGAACCGATTGATGTTTGACCACCATTGAAAACCTGGAAGCATTGGACGGCCGTTTCATTCCTATGGTGTTTTAACATTAATCGGTTCACAATCTCAGTTAAAAACTTAATCTCCACAAGTTTATACTAATAATTACCATCTGCTCACTAGTGACTAACTTCATGGGGGATTTTCGGAGTTCTTATGAGAAGCTGTGACCTGTGGATTTAATCCATGTCAGGTAGAGACAGGTATCTATCTTACACAATGGAACATGTTCGCGCAATTTCGTGGATTAGTTGAGGTTAGACATTAACACCGTTGGATTCTGTCTCAGTTCGCGTGCAAGGCTGAAGGTTCTGGGTTGGAATCTCGTGAATGGGATCTTGCATGTACACTGCTGTGGAGTCCCACAATGGGACGAAACGACCATCCAGTGCTTCCAGGTTTTCAATGGTAGTCTAACACCAATCAGTTCATGATCTCAATCAAAAAATTACTTTTTTTATTTTCGTTGGAAGCATTTTTGATAGGATAGAATAGTTACTAACTAACCCAGGACAATGTTTAAATTATGCACTATTGTTAACGGGACATAGACTGGATTAAAGCATTTGTTTATTATTCATTTGAACACATAAATATTGGTACAAGAGGGCACCAAATATATATGCGCCACACAAAACAATGAGAATTTGAAGAAAAGGAAAAAAGGTAAGGAGCGTAAAGAAAAGAACGATAACGAACAGATTGGTGTAAGGTAGTGTAATAATAATAATGGGGGAAACAGAAACGTACAATCAGAAGAGATCTTTCAGTTAACGAAGAAGCAACCACTTTTTACGAAGAAAGTAAAAGGTTACAGCAGGATCGCCACTGGCTTCTATTCTGAGCGATATCTGATAACGTCTCTACTCGAGAACGTTTAGATAGAGCCGAATTTCCACCATAGGCGAGCTGCTGTATAAGTCGGAAAATAAGAATAGACAGAGTTGGGAATAAAAGAGTGGATAAATGACATAGTAAATAATATTAATAATAATAATAATGTGAATCGTTTGATTGTTAACTGAAGCAAGAAAAGTATTTTCCATAATTATCGACAGTTCATCATACTTGTGTGTGGGCTGTGATACTGCCCGGATGCCCAGACCGAAGCAGATGGTTTTCTTAGGGGACCACACAGCGATCCTTTGACCTAAAGGTCTAACCCACAAGGCAATGGAGCATCGTGAGGAGATGCAGTCCCATGGTAGCCGGTGACCAACAATTGGTTCATACGCCATTTGTTCCCGCAGGATACTGGAGCCCACGTGCACCATGCTCAATGCACGATTGCTTTGGTGCACACTGATTGGCTCATTCTTATCCAATCAGCGTTAGTCAATACTTGGTGAACACTCTAGAAATCTTCTCATGTGAAAAACTATAAATATACTAGTGTTTTCCCTATTGCACCACTGACTTACTTCTTGCTTCCATCTAACCTTGTTATTTGGAATATAATCTCTTTCCTGTTCAACCGTGTTCTGATTTGGGTTCTCATCGAATGTTTTGGTGTCCAAGAATACCAAGCAATAGGAATAGCTGGGTTATAACCGTAAGAAAGAGATTATAACAACTATATTTTGCATTTGAACAACAATCATAACTATTAAGTATTCTAGAATTTAATACTTCGTTTTTTCTTTGCCAATATCATTTTACGTCAGAAATATTTTAAATTCATAATCCCTTTCATTGTTATTATACTACTAATCAATCTTGTTTTTAAAATACCAAGTCAACATACCTATATTACATTCTTGCATATATATATATATATATATATATATATATATATATATATATATATATATATATGAATAGACAATTCATATAATCAATATACTGGAAGTAGATTCTTTTGATCATATATCATAAATTTTTAATAATGGAAAAATAACAGAAATCAGTTCTTTCTTTTCTTTTTATTACCCCATCCTTAACTTTATTCTTGGCTTTTACACATAGAAATTATTTTACCTTTTATAAGTTTTACAATGTTTGTCTCAAATTCATGCATAGATACACTTACAAGTATTTATCTTCTGTCTCTCTCTACGTATATATATATATATATATATATATATATATATATATATATATATATATATATATATATATATACTAAAAGAATGTAACTTAAAGTTTTGTGTATTGTACAAGTAACATATTTCTGGGTGTTATTTAAGATGGTTAGTGTGCCCTGAACGACTGACTTTTAGTCGAACCATTTGTATATAAACCTATGCCATTGTGATCGATTTTGGTCCATATCACCCAGAATCTCCAACTATTGGTTACGATAGTTACACGGACCCCAACCATGTAGTAGTCTGTATCTACCAACATAGTTAAGACTAGAAGTTAGTGACTTCAAGCACTGATGCTACATTTTGGTTTGGCTGCCCCATAACTTTCTTCTAGCTATCTTCAACACTAGTAAGCATTGCGTGTCGTGGTAATCGATATTCAGGTGTACGTAACAATATATATCAATTGGTGTTGCGAATTCTTTTTTTGAATTGTTTACAATTTTGTTTTCAATAGATTATAGTGTATAGTTAGAAATTAAATGTACACGATTGTGAAAGTCTACCAACTATCGAAATATATAGCATTTCATGTTGAGTCACTTAGGTTAGTAGCAATATTGTAACTCCACTTATAGAATCTGATCAACACTAAGGACTGATATTTGTTACTACTATGATCACTTAGCTGTAAGAATATCGAAATCAGTCGCTACCCGAATAACTTGGTGTTAATATATGAGATTGTGAAACTGAGTGATTTACGTTTGAATTCTGTGGGGAATATTAGTTCTCTCTAATTCACATGTAAACTTATAAGATGACTGCCAACTAACATAAAACCTAGGTCATACCTAGCATTAAAGACAAGTTGATATATTATCAAACATTGATTAGCTTTTGGTCAATTAACCAAAATACGATAGTTTCTCTTTCTTCGTTTACATTTTTAAATAGCTTTGGACTAATCAATTTGAGTATATTTGAGGCAAATTTTCCAGAATTTGTAATAGAACAGTATTTATTGGACTTGGTAAGAA